AAAGTTGTTAATTCAAGTACCCGAAGCTCATTTGCTATGTAGCCTCTCCATGTTCAGTACTTAAACCATGCGAAACGCAAACCATGTGTGCCTCGGAGGCATAATCCATCTTACACTCACTCTTCTGTTTAGTCCCCATTGCTAATCTTAAATGAATCAACTGTAAGAACTATCCAGCACGTAATTCACGAAAAATGATATTGCTTCTGAGGAAACCGCGTATGGTACTGAATCATGCTTACCGTTTAGGTTTGAGTAAACAACGCCAACGTGTTGTTCACTTAGAGTGTTCTCTCATTTACACGATATACGATTACACCTTACGATATTCACCTTTAGCTGAAAGGAAGAAGAGGTTTCAGAATTTTCAAATAAAATGATCATGTTACATCTTCTTTAAAAGACCTCAAACTCTATTTTGTTTTCCATTCGCGCGATGATACTTTGAGAGGTCTTACAAGGGAAGGATACCAGGTCGCAGTAACGGACCGAAATGATATGTATATGATTAGATGCGGCTTGACGAGTTGATTCCAAATCTACTCAGACAATCGACGGGACCCCTCCGCCGGACCCTCGGAAACTGCCAGGGTCGCGCCGGACCCAGTTGACCAATGAGAGAAGGGCAAATGGGCGGTCCATCGCGGTGGCATCACTGGCAGACAAATGGGAGGCTTATCCGGCCCTGCTGCAAAGGTCCGCCATTTCTCCGGCGCGACTCTGCCAGATTTGACGGACTCCGCGCCGCAGAGATCTGCGCGGCGCGTGTCCGTTAAATTTGGAAGAGACGCGCCGGAGAAAATGGGAGGGGTCCGGAGCAGAAATGGGAGGCCTCCGGAGCAGAAAATGGGAGGTATCCGGAGCAGAAAATGGGAGGTATCCGGAGCAGAAAATGGGGGGTATTCGGAGCAGAAGATGGGAGGTATCCGCCGGAGAAATGGGAGGGCTCCGGAGCAGGCTGCGTATCGATTTGGCGCGTAGCCACGCTTGAGATTTTGAGACGTTCTTAAATGCGCGCTATCTAGACTATCTAGTGTTGTTGTGATAAAAGTATCGTCTAAATTATCCGTTTATTGCTATCTCTCTTGTACGTATGCTTACCAAGTCGATCGACTTTTCATCAGACGTTGCAGATCCTCACTATATCGTTTTTGGCTTGATAGATAGGACAAGGCAAGAGTTATGTTGACAAACGTCTTGGAGGCAACTCCAAACGATGTTGAAGTTTTGATAGATCTTGCTCAGCTTCTGGAAGGAGTTGATCCGCATGTTAGTTTACATCATCAATTACATTTTACGAGTTTTGACAACCGGCTCTTCTAGAAATCGCTCACTCTCTATGAAAATGCTTGTGATCTCATAAAAACGAGCGAAGATGGTTTACAAATTGATCCTCCAGCTGCTATCTTAAACAATATCGGAGCCTTGCACATGACTTTGGAAAATTATGAAAGGGCGAAGGAGTACTTCGAAGCAGCGGAAGCTAAGCTCCAAGTAAGTTGCATGTGCTTAGCTTCGCTCATTCTCTTCGATCGTTACAGGAAGATTTGGAGGGAGATCTGTCCGATTCGAAACTTTCTTCCTATGTCATCACTATGAGATACAACCTCGCTAGATGTTTGGAACACTTGTGCTTGTTCGAAGACGCTGAAGTTTTATACAAAGGCATTTTGAGAGAACAAGAAAATTACACGGATTGTAAGTTTTTTCAAATTAACATTCTGTGCACTCATTCTAGTGCATCATATTGCAAAGGTTATCTTCGTTTCGGATGTCTTGCACGCGATCGAGGGCAGATTTATGAATCATCGGTGTGGTTCAAAGAAGCGATGTCCGTTGGGAAGGAAGGATCGGTTATCAATGTTTACTCTTTATCCTGTGTAAGCAGAACCGGTTTATTTTTTGCATTCAAGCATTTCCATTCTCCTCAACACTTTCACTCCTTTCTGCTCCAACTTTTCCTTCCAAAAATTGTGCGATCCGCGCCAACTCTTCTTGCGTCCTGGGTAGAATTGCCTCATTTTCCTTCCAAGGAACTATCTCATGAGTAAGCGGCTTAAATTTGGATGTGATGGTTTGCTGTTCAAGGCATGTTTTTGAAAAAGGCGGTTCATTCTTAGTTTGCAATTTTTTTAGTCGTAAGCATGACTCAATCTGTTGTCGTGATTCTCCTCTTTTTTATCAGTTTTCATGTTCGTTTCGTTGTCAAGCCTTTAAGCTAAATATGTTGAGCTGTGCGTAAGGGATCGTTCATACCGCGCACAAAGGCGGACGAAGGCGGACGAAGCTGGACAAAGGCGGACGAAGCCGGACAAAGGCGGACGAAGGCGCGTGTGAGTGTGTGTGCGTGTCGAGAGAAACGAGACGAGACGAGACCGCGCCTTCGTCCGCCTTTGTCCGGCTTCGTCCGGCTTCGTCCGCCTTTGTGCGCGGTATGAACGATCCCTAATATCGGTCGAGAAACAAGCAACGAAAGAGTAAGGGAACTTCATAGGAGAACTTATGTTTTTCCTAGCTGCGACGCATTATTCTGGAGGAGTATTGATTTTTTTTGTTTACAAAATCTGATCTACTAGCATTGTTCATCATCTAGGTGCTAATTTGCTGCGTTAAAATTCTTGTCAGTGACAGCATACTCATTTGATGCCATTTTAGTATCCCAGCACGGTTTTTACGCAACTTTCCATCTACTGCAAGCGCTCCCAGGTTGGATAGTATGCCAATTTCGCAGGAAAAGTGCGCGTAACTTTCTTCAGAGTAGGTGCCCCAACTAAGGACAGCATTATTTGGAATCGGCGTTCGAAGCTTTCCGAATATATATCTCATCTCAAAACGAATTCAAGTTAAATGAATTCCCTTGTTAGAGTGAATCATCTAGCTACTTAGCGGACGAGCTTGTGAATTTTCTACTGGAGAAGATTGCTGATGTTAGCGGACTATCCGTGTCCTCTCAATTACGTCAATCCTCATCTACTCGGTGGAACTGCGCATTGTTTCATCTTTCCATAGATCATTATTTACATCATTTTTTTTATCATTTATCAAATTCACATCTTTAGCGATTAAGCTCAATGGCTGGTCACCTTCCAGCTTGCGTCATTGACAATGGGACGGGCTACACAAAATTAGGCTATGCTGGAAACTGCGAACCTCAGTTTATAATCCCTTCGGGTTGGCGATGCTTGTTGTTTGTTCATCTTCTGTAAAGAACTGCATACAGCCATCGCTGTAAAGGACAAAATAGCCAGTTCGAATGCAGCCGCTCTTCGTTGGAATACATCTACTGGATAAAAATTGATGATCTGGATTTTTTCATCGGCGATGAGGCCCTATCTCCTTCCGCAGCTAATTACTCAGCAAAGGTAGGGATTTGATACATATCTATGCAGAACTTTTATCTAGGAGTTTTGCAGTGCCCGATTCGCCATGGAATCGTTGAAGATTGGGATTTGATGGAACGATTTTGGGAACAATGCATCTTCAAGTATCTGAGAGCTGAACCTGAAGATCATTTCTTCCTCTTGGTACGCACTTCTTCATTAACTCCATCTTCTTTTTTTAAGCTTCATACGCTTCCTTTTCACTCTTTCTATTTTTCGTTTCTTCTTTCAAACAGGATAATTCGAAGATGATAATAGATACGTTTCGTATTGGAACGAATGACTAATTTTCTACTTCTTTTTCGATCAAAAACCGTATGTTTTGGTTTAGGCTGCGTATTAGCATCGAAGGCAATGTGGCAAGATGCCCGTGACATCTTCGCTCAAGTTCGTGAAGCTACCTCGGAATTCGAAGATGTTTGGATGAATATAGCTCATGTATATATAGAACTTGGACAATATGTCCCTGCTTTGCAAATGTGAGTTTATGGCGTTCCTCGCTGTTTTGTTTCATGTTGCACAGAATGCTTTTTTGATCTTTTTGTCATTTTCTTACCAGGTTAAAACCATATGCTTATACTGTGGTGTTACAAGGTTCTTTTTGCAACTAGGAAATTAGTTTCTCTTTGAATATTCTTATCTCTAACTCCTAGTATGGTTTTTGTAATATGTATTAACTGTTGTACGTATGCTGGAGATAGATAGATAGATTTTTCGAAAGTTTGAAAAATTTGAAATAAATGTCTTATCTCTTCGTTCTTTCTTCTATCTTCTATCCATAAACGCTAGGGGTGAGAGGGAGGGGGTAGAGTACGGGGTGAGGGTCGCGCTAAACTCCTACCCGGGGGAGGGGGGTCCTATTCGGCTTATTTGGGTGGGGTTTAGAGACAAAATTTGGGTTTGGAGCTTAAAGGCAGCGTCCAGGCAAGTCTGGACCTATGGGTATTTTACATGGAAAGTACTTTTGGGGCCCTAACTAAGCCATTACCCAACCGGCAGCTCAAGTAGTGCTCTAACGCCTGAGATATTCTGCTCGAAACCGGACCCCGCGACCGTGTTTCGCATGGATTCATGGCGCAAAGCGTGGATCCTGGCGCGAAACTGCCATGAATCCATGCGAATACGTTCGCGGGGGGTCTGTTTCGAGGGGAATATCTTCGCCATTAGAGCACTACCTGAACTGCTGCTTCGGCAGTGCCTTAGTTAGGGCCCCAAAAATACTTTCCATGTAAAAGCCCCATAGGTCCAGATCTGCCTGGAAGCTGCCTTTAATTAGGGCTAATTACAGTATGCCGCGATCGGGGGGCTCCGGCGCACAAAATCGGGGGGCTCCGGAGCAGAAAATGGGAGGTATCCGGAGCAGAAAATGGGGGGTATCCGGAGCAGAAAATGGGAGGTATCCGGAGCAGAAATGGGAGGTATCCGGAGCAGAAAATGGGAGGGCTCCGCCGGACAAATGGGAGACCCACCGCTGGGGATACGCCGCGACCCTGCCACTTCTCCGGCGGAGGGGTCCGATCCGCTGTCTGAGTAGCTTCCATATCTGCTAACAAGGGAATGGTCAGAATTTGAAGTGGCCAAACCAAACAAGCTGCATACCATTCGATGCAATATAGAACGCTGACTTCGAATCTGTCTTTCTTATCTGCTTCCCGCTTCTGTGGACGAAGCTACAAGCCATTAAAGACCATTATTTTGCTAAGAAATTACACGTGAAATTGCAAATTTAGCCGTGCAGAGCCACGTTCGCCTTGATGCTGGGCCAAAACATGCAGCTAGTCTACTTCAAATTTTTAACACGTTGACGACGAGCCATTTTTTGAAGGTCTGTCCCTGTGGACGAACCGTTTCCGGGCATTTTCACAGCCGGCTGCATATATATATGCATGCATCTATGCGTGAGATACAAAAATGCAAGTGAGCGGGGAAGCTCCGCCCACTTTTGGCAAGCCCCGCCCACTTTTCAAAAATGCTGGAAATCGCTCAAAATCAATGAATTTGTGCAAATTCCGGCATTTTTGAAAAGTGGGCGGAGCTTGCCAATCAGGGGGCGGAGTTTGCCTAACGGTGGGCGGGGCCCGTATAAAAGTTACTTGAGGTGTTTGCGTTCATCTACGGCCTCATCCATGCCTTTTGTGAACAAAAAGGGCCTCTGTGAGGGGTATAGAAGTGGGCGGAGTCTGCCAAAAAGGGGCGGGGCTAATACATGAGATACATCTGAGCCTATGTTGGTTATATGAACAAAAACTGAGAGGATTGGACAGATAGTATTGAAATTAAGGCCGCCGCGCACCATTGCGCGGCGTCGTCCACAGGGACAGACTGCCTGCCGCGCACCATTGCGCGGCACTGTCGTCAACGTGTTAAAGAAAGAAGCTGAGCTAAAAATGTAACAGTGTGCTCAAATTCGCTGTATTTATGTGAGATTTCTTCACAATAAAACCGCTTGTAGCTTCGTTCACAGAGGCGGGAAGCAGACAAGAAAGACAGATTCGAAGTCAGCGTTTTATACTGCATCGAATGGTATACAGCTTGTTTGGTTTGGCCACTTCGACTTTTGACCATTCCCTTGTAAGTGCTTCTGAGGAAGCTATGGGCGGTCAAAGGTGTGAAGCTGATAAGGTTTACAGTAATTTGCTTTGAGCTTGAAAGTGATTAGCTGGCATGGTTTTGAGAACATTCAGTGCAAGGGCATTCTTTGCATGCACACATACACCAAAACATAAAAAAGCGTTTTTGAATGAGTAGTTTCCGAAGATATGACACTGAATGGTTGTCAAATCTGGACATTCAAACGCTCATAATTTTTGAATACGGAAGCTAGACATGGAATCAGCTCATCAAGACGCATTTAATTATGTGGCATATCGTCTCGGCGGGTGCGTAGCAAGTGGTACCCGGGCAGCCGACTGCTGCCGCAGTCAGCCGTTAGAGCTGCCGGTAAAGCCGCTGCAGATGGTACAATAATTACGCTCGTCGTCTAAAACTCTTGCCGAAAGGTTTTCTCGCACCTCGTCGTTTTGAGGTGCGAAATCAGTCTCAGGAATGCGTGATATCCTCGATATCTATATCATTTTGAACAGCAGAAAATTCATTTTTCTAAGAAACATGCAAATAAACAAAGGCAAACAGGGGAGAGGTTCTTTTAAAGGAAAATGATCACAAATTCAAATCACTCTAAAAAACTCAAAGTAGCAGAAGCTGAAATATCATTGAAAAGTGAATTTGATTTCTAGGAATTCTTCATTGGAAAATTAAGGATCCTCAAAATTGCAGCGTCAATGATATTTATTGTACTTTGATTTCAAAATTTGACAGAAAAAAACTGTTCAATTTCCTATTCATTCATTTTTGTAATTGTTTGTGAATTTTTGGAGAATTTTCGGTGTAGTTTTGTATTCGACTGTATGGTTCTCAATGAAATATGGCTTGTTCTGCTCTTCAAAATGATATAGATATTGAGGATATTACGCTATCATTGATCTTATTTAGCTCGCTTAACACCACTTTGTATGAAATAATCATCTTGACACAATTTTCTTACCGTTATATCCATGACATTTTCCTGTAACTATTCTCGTTCGTTTTTCGACGTGGAAACGAGAAAAAATCTCTAGAAATTTGAGACATTTCTGAACTTTTCAGCTTCTGCTAACTTTGAGTTTTTTAGAGTGATTTGAATTTGTGATCATTTTCCTTTAAAAAACCTCTCCCCTGTTTGCCTTTGTTTATTTGCATGTTTTTCAAAAACATGAATTTTCTGCTGTTCAAATGTCGTGGATATCACGCTTTCCTGAGGCTGATATCGCACCTCAGAGCAACTAGGCGCGAGAAAGACCTCTCGGCAAGAGTTTTAGACGACGAGCGTAATTACTGTACCATCTGCAGCGACTTTGCCGGCAGCTCTAACGGCTGACTGCGGCAGCAGTCGGCTGCCCGGGTACCACTTGCACGCCTCCCCGTCTCGGCTTGCTACTGAGATCTAGTATCCTTGTCAGAAAGTACTGAAGTAGAGTTTCAGACAGGAGGAGCTCAGAAAAGAAAGGGGCGGGAAGAGAAGTCGAAACAGGGACTACGTCGCTTTGCGCGGTATGTTCCTTCCACGCTCTCAGATAATCGCCGGGGACAGGCGGCCATACGATTTATGGGCGGGCGGGCACCGAAAAAATAGTTCGCTTATTTCTTGCGGTCCGCTTGCAGATATTTGGAAGAATTTAGCGTTTGTTTAGACGAATGTTTGAAGAACAATCGAAGTTTTCTTATGGACTAGCTGCGGCGCATCCTCGCGGACTTTCCGCCTCTGCCACATAGAGTCTCATCTTTAGCGTGTGCCCGAAACTGCGTTAAAATAGTCCTAGCGCTTGCTGTAAGTTTAGCCAGCGCTCGCTGAAAGAAATTTGTTGCCGAGCGCTTGCAGAAGATGTTGTATTGTTGCCTGCTGGCAGAATATGCGACCGTAAAGAAAGTGCCGTCAGCTGAAGGTTTGGCCACGCCTAAAAACTCTGTTGACCGCTTGCAGAAAAGCGCGAGTTTGCGGACCGCCTGCCCCGGCGATTATCTGAGCTGCGGCTACGGTAGTGCTCGCTGGCAGGTGTATGACTGCACTACGCCGCTGGTCCCGTCAGACGCATTGTACGTGTGCAGAGATTGGTTTGAATCGGTTCAGAAATAAAATTTTCTATTTAAAACATACGTCAGACAGACATACAGACAGACAGGCAAACAGATATACAGACATTCAACTATACAGTGCTGGCCAAAACTATACGTCCACCCTGAAAACTACCGTAACTCATTTGCTTCTCAACGAATTGATCTGAAATTTGGTGCAGCTGCTTGTTTAACAGGCTACCATCAGTAACTAGAACGGATCCCGTTTTTGTTTGACTATACAGGAAAAAATCAGAAATT